GCTTTTACTAAAAATTGAACGCAAAATATTGATATCATTAGTAATTATTTATAGCAAGGGAACATAATTTGTTGGCATTTAAGGGCACATGTATCATCCGTTTTAACCTAATATTTTGGTAGCGTTAAAGATATTTAAAGTGAAGTACTTTTACTAAAAAATAGTCTTCCTTAAAATATGATTTCATCCTAGTTGTTTGACGTAAATAAGAAAGGTCGCTTTTTCGTTATAACTTACTAAGAGAACAACTACAGCGGGTCACGAACTTGATCAATTGGCAACGATGGTACTTTCATTCCACAACTTTGTTTGTGTTGGCTTGTTGATAGATTCCATCAAATTTTAATGTCCGGTTCAGGAGACAATGGTTGCGTACAACAGGAATCGGAGGGGCAACATTCAGGTGCTTCAAATGAACTTCTGTTGGAATTTCTTGATAGTGTAATGTTCAAAAGATTCGACGCGGCTCTTATGCTTTGTCAAAAGATAATCGAAGCTGAACCTGATAACTATGAGGCACGTGCATTCCTTCCTATGCTTGAGGAGGCGAATGCATTGAAGTCATCAGGATACTTTAATCCATTAGACGTGTCTTCTTCCACTGACTCCGGTGACAGCAGTGGGGAGGAAAGCGAACACAAAAAGGAGCGCCATGACTCTTCCTCTTCTTCCGATGAATGGGACTATAGTACAACAACATCTGATTCTGATAATGCTTCAGATGATGATGGGTAATGTATCGAATACGCAATTTTACGGACATTGGTTGCACGAAGTTAACTCATATGTATTTATGTGTTCTGTACTCAGTTGACCAAAGAGGCCATTTTTATACATGGGAGTTTTTATGTAAACCATTGCGGCATGAGTTATTGGGTACGAATAATATTAGTAGTTGATTGCTATCTTGAAAGTAACTTATCTTAGAGGGGTAATAAGGTTAGAATTTGTTACTTTGTTAAGCGTTGAATCATCTGGAAAACTTTGAGGTCTCTTTGAGAGGCTTGCTTTCTCAAAGCTGTTTTAAACTATTCTGGAAAGAGCAAATCCTCACAGCTACTTTGCATATATTATAAAATAATGTCTTAAGGCTGGTATACTACACTTGAAACAGATAGCTAAGAAAAACTGTTTTATTTGTAATGCAGTTCATCAGAACTGGGAAGTATTATGGCTTTGTTTGGAGGAGTAATAAGGCTGCATGTGTATTTAGGTTGGTATGCACTATATGTTTTGGGAGAATACATTCTGGATTTACTTCAAATCCTTTAAATCGGGTGGATGGAATACAAGAAGAGTTAAGGTGTTCATACGTAGAAGGAGTGTGCCCCACCAAGCTAGACACCTGTGCTTAGTCAACGCTGTTTTTAGCTTTTTGTCAAAGAAAAGATGAGCACTAGCGTTTTGGGAAGTCTCATTCGCATTCGCCTTATTCGCTTGATTTGAAAAAGTGGGAATATGAACAAGAAAAACATTGCAGTTGCCATGGTGATTTTTTCCATTTTAGCAGGTGAGAATAATGAAATGTTCCATTTCTGGCTGCTTGGCAGAATTGCAACGCACACGATATTTATGGTTTGGAAAAACAGGATATAGTATTATTAATTTGCTGGAAATTGAGTCAAATATTGATAAGATTTTCAAACTTTAGGATGGTGAATCCTTTGAAGGTTGACAGGTCTGAAAGGAAGGGCAAGAGAGAGGTACGGTTTCGTTGCCAAAAAATTGCTCCGACATTTATTGTGACGTGATTAGAAAGCGCTTTTGACATTTATGTCGTTATGGCAAGTCGACATGGTCCATTAGTCTTTTTTTCTTCTTTTGAGCGGAAGCGAAGGGAATTAGCCACCGACAACATCTGAAAATGACT